TGAGCAGAAATGTGGAATTGCTACGGAAACAATCCTCCTGGTAGTGTTAGACAACTTAAGTTCAGAGTTAGCACCACCATTTATGAGCTGTGTGACCCTGGGAAAGTCATTTCTCATTGATTCTAGCTATTTCCTTTTTTTTTTTCTTAACAAAATGGAGACACTCATTCCTGTCTCATCCATATTCTGCCATCATGAAGACTGAAGCTGTTTATGAAGAATATTTGTAGAGTGCAGCACCTCATCGTGGGCCCTGGAGTCTTTAGGTTTGGTTCCTAGTCCACTGTTATCTTTATATCATAGGCCAGTTAATTAATCACCCTAGCCCACATTTTTCCTACCTATAAAATGGAAATATGTTTAAGTGTCTCTATTATTGAGTTGCTGTGAGGTAATAATGCAAAAGAATTTAACACAATGCCAGTTCCATAGAAAAGGGTTGGTAGAGATTATTATTTATAAAGAGCTGGATACACATAATGGCTTCATATTTCCAGTCATGACCTATATCCCATATGGAAAAAGAGAATTCTTAATTCACATAGGAATTAGGTATACCGAGACGTTAAATGGCACATATGAAGTCATATTTAATCACAAGACCTGTTTCCTTGCCCTCTTGAGACTTGGACATATTTACCTGAGTAACATTAATAGAATTAATAATGTGGTTAGTCCTAACAGAGATGTGCTGTGAATGTCACATACTCATCAGATTTCAAAGACTTAGTGCAAAAATAATAATAATAATAATAAAAATAATAAAAATAAAGGAAAGTCTCTTGTTAATATTGATTACATATTGAAATAATAATATTTGGGGTTTATTGGTTTAAATGAAGTATAATATAAAAATTAATTTCACCAATTTCCTTATGCTTTGAAAAATGTGGTTATAAGAAAATTTAAATGACATGTGTAGTTGACATCACATTTCTATTGGACAATGCTGGCATAAAGAAAAGGTTTAGGTTATTATCTCCTAAGAAATCTGGTTATTTGTAGGGAAAAAAATCTTGAATGATTCTGCATTTATGAGATTTTTTTTTAATGTATGGAGAAGTTAGAGAAGAGAGATTGTGTGAAAGATACCAGACTGTGCCATAACAGATAGATTTAAGGACATATTGGAGGCTGAATGATAGCAGAAAAATGACTATCCAGTAGCAATTTTTTTTATTGTACTAGTATGTAATGCAATCTATGACTAATGGTGGAATTATTCCAAGTAGTACAAAAACAAAACAAGATTGACTTTTCCTATGAGTTTACTCTCTTATTAAATTTAATATATAACAATGCTAAGAAAAATGGTCTTTGAAGCATACTTAAGAGCAAAGAGATCCAGTAGAATTTATAGAGTAGAGTAACGAGGTAAAATACCTGACACAAAGTAAAGAGTAAATACTTAAGAATTCACTATTTTTATGAATAATAATATTATTATTCCTCAGTAATTAAGCAATGTTTTCTGGACTTCTTGATTCATCCGTTCATTCATTTAATTCGCTCACCCAGCAGATATGTTAGATGTTGATGGTGATTAGGAGAAGGATGAAATCAAAGCCATCGACCCATTTTCAGGGATGTTGGGGAGATTTGAAGGTGATTTAACATGAATTTAACACAATAGAAAATTAATTCAGAAAAGAAACAAGAGCATATGTCAAAATAGCCAGTGTTATCTTGTTTCCTTTCCAAATGCCTTTCATTTACCCACACAAATTGATAAGACTCTATCTAAAACTAGATACAACTTAAACCTCTGGCCAGGTGTTCTGTGCGTGTGTGTGTGCGTGTGTGTGTGCGTGTGTGTGTGCGTGTGTGTGCATGTTTAAAAAAAAACATTTCAATTTGGACATACCTCCTACAGGAATTCAAATACAAAATGAGCTGTAGAGAATACCATACATAAATTCTGCGCATGAAGTAGGCAGTTAGGCAGGTAAACAGGCTTGGAGGATTGGATGCTATAAATCTCCTCCTATGAGATGATAGGGCCCCTCCTCTTCATTCCCCAGAAGCTTTGACCTTTGCCACGAATACAGTCCTGACCCTGCCACCTCCCAGGACGTGGAAGTCATCAAGGGCACCCACCTGCACTTTTGGTAATAACTTCTCTTTAAATGGAAGTGATCTTTCCTTTGCGCATTTTGGGTCGGGATGAGTGCACATTCAATTGGCTTTTTATGACCTCTTTTCAAAAAACCTTTAATATTTCAGTTATATATGATAGAACTTTTTATTTGCCTTTTCTCTCTTCCAGCTCTCTCTCCTGCAGCCATACGGTGTTTGAAGGTGGGTGTGGTTTAGTGGGGTTGTTGGGGAGATTCACCGACACCAGCCAGCATTAAAGAGAGCATGCTCCATTCTGATAGGTAATTTCAGAAACAGCATTGTTTCTTATAGATGTCACGAGCATGGCCAACTCTGCTTTATGGGTAAAGAAATAAAATTGTTAAATGTAATTTAAAGTGCCTTTCCTAAAGCCAAAGTGGGCTAATCAATCATTGCGTGTGTGCACGCACACACGCATGCATGCTTACCACCCTGTTTGAATTTTAGGATGCATAATGAACTAGATAAGTCATCTGGTGAGCAAGCAACAGATTCTGTGCTCCTGTTCATGCAAAGTCTTTTATTCTAGGGTAAAAATTGTCTAAAGGGGGTAAGGTTTAATTATTTGTTTTTCCAAAATTCTCATTAGTTTCGATTTTTAACCTCGAGTTGCTTTCAAGGGAAAACGATTCCCCCTTTGATACAAAGTTGTGTGTTACCAAAAATATGGGTCTTTGGGCAGAAAGAGGCAAGCAAACAAAAAAAGAGGAAATGTAATAGCAAATGTATTTTGAATTAGAACATTGGAAGGAAAATAATAATCATTGTGGCTGATAGACATCAAGTTCAAGGATCTATGTTCTATGTTCAAGCATGTATTTTTAGCCACCTTGATATCTGAACGGGCAGCCATCATTAAAAAATTTGCTCAGACTGCAATATGAACTTTGGATCAAGGTATCAGGAACACCACCGGGTTTCAGAAAGGCTGCCCCCAAGATCATGTTCCAGCTCTAATATGATCTAATTTTATGCGGGGAAAAAAATAGGGAAAATTTGAGCTTCTAGAGAGTAGGAGCTATAGTTTTGTATTTCACAGGGCCAAGGAAGAGTTGCAATGTGTTTCATTTTAACTCCTTTCAACGTATTGACTGCATCCAAGAGGGGTCTGAGAGGGCGATGATACAGAGTTTTGAGATTCAAGCTGGTCTAAAACCTGTCAAGGCTGGAGACATTTAGCTCCATTCATGCTAGCTCCACACGGAGTATGACCACAAATCTACATTAATACTAATAACATTGTGCCCCCTAGAACTCCCCAGAGTCTGTTGAAGTTCTGTTTGAAGTGATTTTTTTGAAGGTTTTTTTTTTAAGGTTTTATTTATTTATTGACACAGAGAGACACAGCGAGACAGGGAACACAAGCAGGGGGAGTGAGAGTGGGAGAAGCAAGCTTCCCGCCGAGCAGGGAGCCTGATGCGGGGCTCCATCCCAGGACCCTGGGATCATGACCTGAGTGGAAGGCAGATGCTTTTTTTTTTTTTTTGACAGAGACAGCGAGAGCAGGAACACAAGCAGGGGGAATGGGAGAGGGAGAAGCAGGCTTCCCGCTGAGCAGGGAGCCCGATGTAGGACTCGACCCCAGGACTCTGGGATCATGACCTGAGCGGAAGGCAGACACTTAACGACTGAGCCACCCAGGCGCCCCTGAAGTGATTTTGAAAATCAGAAGCCATACGTGTTTCCCAGCAGGTCCTCACCCCTCTGTCACTGGGTTGTCAGGGTCAGGAATGGTGGAGTCTTGCCTCAAAGGTGGAATAATCTGGGGGCCTGGGTGGCTCAGTAGGTGAAGCATCTGCCTTTGGCTCAGGTCATGATCCCAGGGTCCTGGGATCGAGTCCCGCATTGGGCTCCCTGCTCAGCCAGGAGCCTGCTTCTTCTCCCTCTCCCTGGGCCCTGCTTGTGCTATCTCTGTCTCTCTCTCAAATAAATAAAATCTTAAAAAAAAAAAAAGGTGGAATAATCCATAATCCTCCCACCTAGTCCAACAAGCCGAGTCCTTCCTCTCAGTCCATGTTGGTGTAATTGGCATGAAATTCCCCGTTCAAGTGGAACAGATCTTGAGGTTTGGACAAATGTGAGTAAGAGCTTTGTTTTTGAAAGGGGTGCCGGATGAGTCCAGACTAAGAGAACAGAAGCTATTGAATCTGCTAGGTAGGACTTCACTGTCTTCCCGCTTCTTGTCCCCAAGAGATTCAGTTACTGCTGGGGCCCTAGAGGTGTACAGAAATACAGAGTGAAACAGAAACGATGCCTATGTGCCTCCGCTATTTTGGGGGGGAGGTTGGAGCTAAGTTGTCTTTATTCTCCTCTGGCCTCTGCTTCTATTTTGTTTTATGCGTGGGTTGTTTTTTTTTTTTTAAGATTTTATTTATCTGTTTTAGAGAGACAGAGAATGCGGGAGTGGGGAGAGGCAGAGGGAGAGGGAGAGAAAATCTCAAGCCGACTCCCCGCTGAGCACAGAGCTCCACGCAGCGCCTGATCCCAAGACCCTGAGATCATGAGCCGAGCCGAAATCAAGAGTGGGACGCTCAATCAACTGAGCCCCCCGGGCGCCTCTGCTTCTACTTTGCTTTAAGTAGAGGTCAACTGGTCCGTGGTTCGGTGCTCACAACGGTCGCGGCCAAAGCTGACCCCGGGCTGCATCCCTTGGGCATATGGGTCTGTGTCCTCCGACGCTCCGCTGCTTCCAGGTCCTGCCTGGCCTCGGGAGCCGGGAGTCAGGATGGTCTCATCCTCACCATTTAGCCACAATCAGTCCCTTCCCTCCACATGACACGGTTGACATCAGTGCGTTTCCCAGACATCGCTTCATCTGACCCTGACAGAAATGCCCTGGCGTTGAGAAGGTAGATATTGCTCTGTCTGCTTCTGTCCATTAGGATCCCGAGTCTGTCCAACTTCCCCATTTCATGCCAGGCTTTGAAAATGTAGCTGAACCCTCCCAACAGTGGCCCAAGGAAACTCCAAGGAAACATGAAGGATTCAGTCAAACTGGTTACTTGGCATCCTGCAGACCACTGTTTCCCAATCTGCAAGCATATCAGGGCATTTGGTGCGTCAGGAAGACGCCCTGGGTGGTGCCACAGCTCAGGGTTTCCTCATTTCCATGGGCTTCCTGTCTCTGTTCTCTCTAGCTTCTAACTGTCACTGCAACCACATCTCGTTCTTCAGCCTGAAGTCACGTGCAAAAGTTTAGAGGTTCCTAATCGGTGCAGAATCTTCGGGAGCAGAGGATGCTCACCGAACAAGGTAAGGTCAAGAGCTATCACAAGCGGGAGGCGGGTCAGATGCAAGGGCGCTGCTGGGAGGCTGCCTGCCTTCCGGACCCGCTTCTGGCACCTGTGGGCTCTGTGACCTGGGCAGATCTGAAATCTCTCTAAGCTTTGTTTTTTTTATCAATAAAGTGAGGATGATAGGACCTACTTCACAGAGTTTCTTTGAGATTGAAATAACACGCCTGAGGCATTTAGAAACATTCTCTGGGCAAGCTTAGCACTCAGTAGATACTAGCTGTTACTAGTTTTAACAATGTTTTCAATTATATGACATTTGCAGATAGATATGAAATCATCTTCAACCAGACAGCAAATGCATGGAAAGCTATTTAAAATCTTCAGAAGTAAAGCTCTAAATTTGATGTTACTTTCTGGCTCATTCTCCGAGTAGGAAAAATGGTGAGAAAGGGCTGACTGTGTCTACTGCTTTATAGGTCCTTTGATCCTTCCTATAGCCCCGCCGGGTAGGTAACATTATTCTAATTTCGCCTACAAAGAAACCAAGAAACAAAGCTGCTAAATAACTTGCCCACCATCAGAAATCTTGGCGGTGGTGAGGCTGGACCTCAACATCAGGTCGTGAGGGGGGGGTCACAAGAGGGGTACCCTGGCCTGCCTTGGAAGAGGTGCTTTTAAGCCACGCCAAGGAAGAGAGTGCATATTCACATGTGCAACCTGCCCCACTGGGTGTCCACAAGAGAAAGAATCCGGTCACTGGAAACCGATCGTCAGCTTCTCTGCTCACTGTTCTTGTTTGTTTTGTGGGAAGCCGGTTAGAATAGAGAATAACACCCCTTTTCCTTTTGCTGGGGCTTTGGACACCTGTCCTCTGAGTCTTCGGGTACCCTAGCAATTTGCAGGTGAGCAAAGACGTAACATCACTGAAAACCTTCGACGAAAGGACGACCCAAACAAAAAGGCTTGGTACTGGATGAAATGTCTTGCAGAAGTGAATTGGGTCAAAGCAGTTTCTATGTGGGGAAAGGATTCCCATGCTCAGAGTTAGCTCCCTGCGTTTGCTTCCTTCCACACTTTCTCAGCGTTCCTAGGATGTCCGTCCGGTTTTCAGTAGGGCACTATTTTCCTTTCTTAAAGCAAAGTTGTTGTATAAAATTAATCTGTGATTATTAAATGTCTTACGTCAGGCGTTCCCACGATGTGGCTGATTTTAACAACAACCTGTTGTTTGATCTGTGGAACTTTAAGTGCTGGTAGATTCTTTAATTTGGAAAAAGAAGCGAATCCTGAAGTGTGGATGAATATTGTAAGTCATGCCTAGTCCCAAAGGACATCACATAAGGCACATGAATGGTCTTGTGATAGCAGAGAGTCTCAGATAAGGGAACAGATAAAATGTAGGTGGCGTTTAACATTTCTCTAAGAGTGAACCTAGGGAGATCTCCCCTTTTGGCTGAGTAAATAATATTTTCTAGTAATATAAAGCAAAAAAGAATTTATAGGCCACCTCCTCTTTTGAATTTATATTTTAAAAATATTAAAATGTCTATTTTAAGCTATTTGGATAATACATATAAATGCCTTCTACCAAACCATAAGGGGTCTCAAGAATCAACTGGAGAACATAGTTCTGTTAGAAAATACTAAATATTATCTCTACCCAACTACCCACCCCCAAACTTGCCAATAGCCGACATTTTTTAATATTCTGCTAATTTTTTATCAAGACTTCACATAGTAAATTGATTTTACAGTTACCTGGGGCTACAGATTTCAGATAATTCACCCCGATAAGCACACACCAGATGCTTTGTTCTAGTTCCTTCCTATCACCTCTGGAGAAGATGTTGAGCTAATGTCTGTGTTTTTACCTGGCAGAGTGAGATCATCACCTACAATGGCTACCCCAGTGAAGAGTATGAAGTCATCACTCAGGACGGGTACATCCTCAGCGTCAACAGGATTCCTCATGGACGAAAAGATGCCAGGAGCCCAGGTAAAAGATGTTCTCTCCTGCAAAGCAGGACAGCAGATGGCTACAATTTAGTGTCGGCTTTCCATTAAGAGAACGACTGGTTTATCAAAATCGATGGACTCTTGGATTAGTCTTTAAATAGTTAACAGGGAGTCTCATTTTTTTCCAATTCTCTGAAGACAGTCAAGAACCTAAAAATACGAAAGGCAAGACAGGTCTTGTTGACAGCGAGCAGGCCTGCTTGGTCGGGGTGTAAATGCAAAGGCGGGGCCAACATTTCTTTCGTTCGTGACTGATTTCTCATGTGGAATATTGCTGCATCCCAGGAAAATGGATTTCCTCACTTGCAAAGAGATTGGCTGGGTTGCATGAAGTCTCTCCTGCTCCCTCCAGAATCAATAAGCCTCCCTCTGCAGCATTAAAAAAAAATCAAATTAAATGACCCTGACATTTCTGAAACCTTTTCCGGGAAGGAAAACTAGAACATTCTTCCTATGTTTCGATCGGAGGGACGGAAGTTTTGTGGGAGGAAAGAGCATGGTGTTAATAAGGCCTGAATTCTAGCATGAAGAGCCAGCCGTGCAAAAGCAGAGAAATTACTCTTTCAATAGGGACATGTCACCGCAAAGCTCAAGATGAGTGAGGAAGAGAGAAGCATAAGCAAAGTGCCTGGGAAGTTTGGGGGCCAAATCCTTTACCTGTCACTCACCATCCCCCCTGCCATTCCTATTCAGAGGTGGCTAAAATCGCCCTGTTTGACTTTCTCTCCTCTAAGAAAGAAAGGCGTAATCCTAGAGATTCAGAATGAAGACCGAGAGCGGGATGTAGGTGGGGGTAAGAGACCAATGGGAGACAGCCAGTTGAAGTTGAGTTTCAGATCACTAACAAATCAGTTTCTCGGACAAGTTCCACTTAGAATGTACTTATACAGAAATTGTTCATCCTGTATCTCAAATTCAAATCAACAGGACATCCTGAGTCTTCTCTTAATCTTCACTTTCATTTTTTTTTGCAAAATCTGGCAACACCAGCCTTGGGGGTTGGGGGCTAGGAGCTCTAAAAGGAGAGCATTTTTTTCCAGGAAAAGTTTTACTTAAGAAGGGAGAATTTGGGGAAGGTTTGGAATTAAAAACCATTGAATAAGTGTATTATTCTAAAAGCTTTACATTAATTTATATCCAATAAACCTCTCCGCATCCCTAGGAGGTCGGTGCTAGGAATAGTTATCATTTTACAGATGATGAACCCGACCAGGCTCTGTAAAATGCTCAAAGTCACACACATAGCAAGTGATGGAATTGGGATTCAAACCCAGCCTGGCTCCAGAGCCCATGGTCTTACCCACTAAATTATGGTGCCTTTTTGGAACCTTCTGCGTTGGTTCTCCTCATCTCCCTGAACACCTTCTCCCTCAGGAATTTGACAGTTGTCAGGGGGATGTTGAGCCGATTCTATTATATTTGGGGTTTTCAAATGCTCTCCGGTGGGCAGGGGCTGGGGATTTGGCTGGAAGCTTGGCGAGGAACCAGTCGTTGTCCATTTATGCTCTGCTCCTCCTCCTCCTCCCCGGAAGAGGCATGGGATTCCATCAAACACAATCATTTTCCTGTCTTTGCAAGTCAGACCCCAGAGAGAGGCAAAGGCGAATTCACAGAGCAGCGAGCTCAGTTACGAGCACCCACTTTGGTGTGAAACAGAACTGGGCTTTCGTCCTGGCTCTGCACCTTGTTAACTGGGTGGCCCCTTGGGAAAGTTACTTCACTACCTTAAAGCTCAGATTCTGCGTCTGTAAAATGAAGATCCTTAAAATAGTAGCTACTTATATCATAATAGAGGTATAATGAGAATGTAACAAGCTCATGGGTGTTCATCTCTTCATCTGTCAGCATAGCACCAGGTATAATGCATGTGCTCAAGAATCCTACGTGATTCTCACGCTCTACACGAATGACAAGGGGGAAGGTGAATGCTGATTTTGGTTTTTGCTTCTTCTGGTGTGGGGGGTGTGTGTGGGGGGGCGGTTCTATCATGTCCCTGAGATGCTCTATTTATCATAAATTATTCTCTCTCTTCCTCCCTCCCTCCAGGACCCAGGCCAGTCGTATATATGCAACATGCCTTATTTGCAGACAATGCCTCCTGGCTGGAGAATTTTGCCAATGGCAGCCTTGGATTCCTTCTAGCAGATGCAGGTTACGATGTCTGGATGGGAAACAGCCGGGGGAACACTTGGTCAAGAAGACACACAACACTCTCAGTGACTGAAGAAAAATTCTGGGCATTTAGGTAAATTGGATCTAAGAAAAATCATGAAGATAGTTTGAGGCAATTCCTTTGAATATAATAGTGTGGATGATGTTACTAATAATCTGTAACAATGGAAGTCACATAGTTCCTTGTAGTTCCTACTAATATCTCAAAGCAGAGAAATAGCAAGAAGTTAGATTTCCACTGATTCTCCCTCAAGCACGTTATATCATTTTAACATGATAATTTTAACATCCAATTCTATCCAATACTATACATCATAAGTCTGTCCCAAGGGACAGCTCAGGGAATTCCTATGATCGTTGCACACGTTCACTTAACCAGTGTTTGCTGACTGTCTACTGTATGTACAGTTCCAGCCCCTGAGCACTCAAGAGTGAGCAAAATACTTGCCCTCACGAAGCTTCTATTCATTCTAGTGCTGCTAATCCAGGTCTTTTCTCTTGGACAGGCCAATCAGTTTTGCAGAGATGATGTATACCAGTACTATATTTTATTTGGAGAAATTCTGGTTGAGACGGTATTGCATACCATTTTTCAAGAGAACTCCAATATGAGGTCTTTAAAACCTTGCGAATGGGCAATGGAGAACAATGTTCTCGTATGGTGCCTCTTTGACCGAAAGTATTTTCTGCTTTCACCAGAGGACAGGCTGATGCCTGCAAGAGACTTCCCTTTTGCAAGGCTAAACTAGAACAGAGTGTGCATTCCTACCATATTAATGAAATAATGAAAAATACCCACTGACAGGTTGAGAATGAAGGAAGGGAAGAACAAATTGTTAGGGTCAAAGCTTTGGGGCAGGAACAAATAACAGGAAATATTTTGCCTCACTGGCCCTTAGCTGGGAGCTTGAAGCTTGTTTACTATAAGACATCACAAGAATTCTCTTATACGCAGGAGTGTCAGCCTACAGATTTCCTATTTCCTCACATGTCCTTTTGATAAGCAAGCCTCGAGCCCATGGGCTACCTGGCTCCACTAAGTATTACGTAAGTCTTTTGGTTCTCCTGGGTTAATTCCAGTTGAACTGGGGCTATGGCATCTTGGTAGATATCGAACATATCTCTAATGCAGAAAGAAACAATAATAACAGGTGCACCTGAGTCATGATTTGACTGTCATCCAATCCCCTTAGCAGCCCTGCTCGAGAGCAGGTATTATGTCCATTTCACAGACTGAGCAACCTGAAGCTCAGAGCATTTAAGTAACTTATCAAGAGTTTCTCAGCTAGAATCATGATTTGCAACCAGTTCTGTTTCCAAAGCTGAGTATGAAATGGCCCGAAGGTCTGGAAGTGCCCTGTGGGTGTTTGAAGAAGAGGCAGGCAAAACAGGGGAAAGGGAAGGGCAAGAAGAGGAGAAAAGGTAGGAGTGGCCTTCAGACAGTACACACAAGTCTTGAAATCAGTCCTGCTGTTAGACTGTAACGCACATAAACGCGGCGAACAAAAGCTACGCTAGCCAACACGTGATTGGATAAATAACGAGATGCACTCTAAAGGAGTGACCGCCACAGAATTCTGTGTATAAGAAGTAAGTGAGCAGGTGCTCTGAGTTTAAACTTAGTAGCGAGTATTTATGAGCCCCCGTTTTATTTTGCAGTTTCGATGAAATGGCCAAATACGATCTCCCGTCTGTAATAGACTTCATTGTAAATAAAACTGGTCAGGAGAAGCTGTATTTCATCGGGCATTCACTTGGCACTACAATAGGTATGTTTACAAGTGTCAATGTTTTACAAGAGTCAAAGCCTCACAAGAGTTCACCTCTCAACTGGAACAGAATCACTGCCATTTACTGTGCCCTTAATTTTCCATCTTGTGCTAGACACGTTGTGCTAGTGTTCTACGTGGCTGTGAACCTGAATTTCAGAGACTGTGTCAGGCAAATCTTTCCTCCATTTCTGGTTACAACAGCACTTTTGTAATGGTGATATAATTTCCATGTGCCCCCAAACCAGAGTATTTCCAAAGAGTAAGTTTCTAGATCCCCTCTGCGCTAAAATAGTAAAGCCTAATGACATGAAATATCCCTGAAGGATGATAAGTATGTGTCAATCATGCCTTCCTCACAATCCATTTGGGATTTTAAAAAATAGTCAAAGGGTGAGCTTATACTTACATTTGAACGAATTGAAAATATATGATCACTTTTTTAAAAGATTTTATTTATTTATTTGAGAGAGAGAGAGCACATGAGAAGGGGCAAGGACAGAGACAGAGGGAGAAGCAGGTTCCCCGCTGAGCAGGGAGCCCGATGCCGGGCTCGATCCCAGGACCCGGGGATCATGACCTGAGCCGAAGGCAGACACTTAACCAACTGAGCCACCCAGGCGCCCCTACAGTCACTTTTTTTAGCTGAAATACAAAAGCATACATCCAGTGGGCTTATCTATTTAGCGTGCAATTTAATATTTATGGAATAGCAATTCAATTCAAACACTATACAGAACATTTTTAAAAGTTCAAGATCCAGCCCTCTGAAAATGTACTTCTTAGTGATTTACTAGATCTTTTAGAAAGAAATCAAAAATCCAGCTTCAAATAAAGATTTAGAGGAATCCATACTACGAATATTGTGAATTTGTTAGTGATCTTCCACTAAAATTTCTAACTTTAAGAACACAGATTCAAATCAGGTCAGTCTGCCTCCCCCCAGTGAGGGTGTTGGGCATGTGGAGAAACCGGATGGTTCAGGTATGACTTGAGTGGGGTCTAGAAAAGTGGGCAGGAGTAGATATGCCCTTATAGCTGATCTGCAAAGAAAACAGAAAATACCTGATCAGCATTGCTCTGCCTTGCATTTAGGGCATGAGTTTTTCAGTGAACATCCTCCGCATTTGGGGCAGAGCAATTTTGGTTATGTGGGAAGGACCCGCTCTAGACATTTAGCAAACCCATGCTCCAGCTTACACTATGAGTCAGTGCGAGCACAGAACAACTCACCTCCACACACTTCCAGAGATCTTCCCCGGGGAAGTATTATACCAGTATACCAGTTTCAGTCTTTGTTGGCTCAGCCAATTAATACAAAGTCTGTTCTTTTTCTGGCCAAAATGGTTTCAATGTTTCAACAAGAATTTCAGGAAAAAAAGCAAGAGTGTATGTGTGCGCGTGTGCACGTGTGCACGCGTGCACACACACAGTGGCAGGGTCCCGGGAAGGCATCCCAGGGAACCAAAACACACAGACACTCCACATACTTCCCCATGCAGCGCTGCTTGCCACCCTCCTCCTCATAGGGCTAGAAATGCGTGGTATGCTGTTGCTGAAAAGTCAGAGCGAATGGAGACAGCTGGTCCTTATCGGGACCACAGAGGACTGAGGGAAATCAGGGAACATTCTGGAGGTTGGCCAGCATCCAGTGAAGCACTGGGAGGGATGAAATTTCTTTGCACTGTGAGAAAAAACAACCGTGGGATCACTGGGTAATACTGCATGAAGCACTGATTGGTTCCTCTCCCGTGAACCAATTGTTTACTTCTGGAAGCTCTGTGACTCATGCTGGCATCTCAGGGTTGGCGGTAAAATGACAGAACTGCTAGCGCTTAGCCCATGTGGGGAGGTGGGGGGGGGAGTGGGTTGGGGGGGTGAAGCTCTCCTCAAGACCCCCCCGGCAGTGGCGGCTCAAGCAGCTTATCCCTCCCTCACTCCCCCCAACCAAGTCAAATTGTCCAGAATACGAGGAAAATGGACACGAGAGCAGAGAGGACTGAAGGCAGATTATCTTTGCTGAATAACTCAGAAGAGTTTCCCGATTCAGCCGCGGGATCATCGCAAGAGAGGGATAAGCTGTCAAAGCGGAGTCCTGCTCGTTAGTAGGGACATTGCCTCAGCATTTCTAATTTTTACAAGATTGTCTTGTCTCCTGTTCTCTTAGGGTTTGTAGCCTTTTCCACCATGCCTGAACTGGCACAAAGAATCAAAATGAATTTTGCCTTGGGTCCTGTGGTCTCATTCAAATATCCCACGGGCATTTTTACCAGTTTTTTTCTACTTCCAAAATCCGTAATCAAGGTAGGCTTCTCATTTTCGCCAAAATGTCTCTGAGGATCCCATTTTGGACCGTAGATCCTTATTATTGTAAAATCTATTACGAAGGGAAAGACGGAAAATAGGAAATTTACATGAAATCTATAGAAGCCAGATTCTGTGCTTTGTGTGTGTATGTGTGTGTGTGTGTGTGTGTGTGTGTGTATGTGCGTCCGTGTATGTTCATGTCTGCACCCACGTGCGTGTCTACGATTCCCACATACAACTTAACCATACTCAGCCATTAACAGACCTGAGTGTATATCAGAATTTCTAGTTAGGTGACTGTGATGTAGTTTAAAATCCACTCACAATTTTCTCATTCCATTCTGTTCCACTGGATAGGTCAATAAATTCACGATGCCCAGATGGAAGACATGATGTTGGATAAGCCTGAATAATACACCCCTTCCTGTAGGGGAGCTTGCTTTAATTTACCAAAGCTATGATCCCAAAACCTAAATGTCTTACAGCTCAATCATTCGTTCAGACATTTATTGGTTATTTTCCAGGGGTTGAAAAAGTAGTTTGGTTGCCAATTATGGATTTGGGACTTTATCCAACAAAAGTCTTTCTCTCTCTCTTTTCTTTTTTTCTGTTTGCTTTTTGTTTCTCTAAAAAGGTCATTGCCATGATAAACATAGTATTTTGGCAAAATTGCCTTTTTGATTTGGGGTGTCAGCTAAAATGAATTTTGGCACAATGAAATCAAGGAGACTGATAAGGGTCTCACAGTAATTCATACGTAAAATGAGGCCCTGGCTCAGGGTGAAGGGGTGGGAATGGGAAAAAAAATTATTTCTGAGCTAACACAAGGATGAATTTCCATAGAGCCTAATGATTGGTTCCAGAGTTTTATTGTATTGTTTACTATAAGCTCAAGTGATGCAATTTCTCTTTTGTGTAGTTGATAGTTCTGTTGCCAGAGTGTGTTGACACCCGTTAGTTTGGGATGTTTTCTACATTTGGGCAGAGTTGAGCAGACAAATTACTTATATTACATTTGGAGGTAGACACATCTATCTCTAAATACATCATTTTTACATTTTATATCTTACATATATATGGCTTTGCGGGCATAGGTGGGGTCTGAGGCTTATCTCAATTCATATTACCCGCTGTCAGATTTCCTGTCACTTTCAGTCCCATTCCCTGACCCTTCCCACCATTCCTGTCTGTGGTCCCCAGAAGCTCCAATCCTCCCATCAGAGAGCCCCACCCAAGCTTACTCTCCCAAGCCCTAGAAATTTTAACTGTGCTGTGTCCCATTATGTCAAGTATTTTCTGTCCAGTGGCCCCCTCCCCTCAGTACTCCATGGTCCACTTTCCAGCCCAAGAGCTGGCTCCGCTGGGATGCTGCTGAAAAGGTCGTGTGCACATGTGTAGTAGGGGAAACCTTGCTTTTCCTTCCTAGTCAAGGCAATATTTGGCCTTAAGGAGAAACTGCTCTGCCTTCCTTGCCAATTAATGAGAGGTAAGAAACATAGGCAGTCAGCAACTGGACAGAATAGGGGAGCTTCACCATGGAGAAGCAAATTTGGGGCTGAAGAGCCTTACTGCAATCTCTTTTTAAATTATGTTTGTTGATCTTCCCTGGATAGAGATGGGTTCATAAATAGTTCTTTTCCCAAATGACTTAGTCTCCTTGGCAGAAGCAGCAAATACAAGTGGACATAGATCTCCAAGAATCCTTATTCCTGGGTTGAAGGGAATGTCAAGAAGCCTGAAAACAATTCTTGAAAGGATAATTACTGTTTATTTTTACAGGGCATTTTTGGTACCAAAGGCATATTTTTAAAGACGGGAAGGGAACCTTCCCTCAAACTCTGCAACAATAAAATATTATGGGTGATATGTAGTGAACTCATGTCCTTATGGGCTGGATACAACAAGAAAAATATGAATACGGTACGTATAATGATTATGGGACCATTTCCAGCTTTTCTTTGACTCACCTTGATGTATCTATTACACTGCATAAACTAACATGGTGTTCTAAACTGTAAAGGAGGAGATTTGCTACGCATAGACTGGGTATTCAATGGACCATGAATGTGAAAACTGGGGGATAGAATAGGTAGGTTCATCTTTCCATTCCTGGTCATATTAGGAAAACAGATGTCCATCATGGGTAGGAGTGTCACACATTCCCTATCAGCCACCCTTACTATAGTCAATTCGATTTCACAACGAATACCATGCATTTAAAAAAAAAAAAAATCCCAGAAAAGAAGCCCAGATGAGCATTGAACTTATTTCCTGTGTGCCTTCGTTTGTTGGGTGACTTTGGCCTCAGATAAAACTCCCCACTTAACTTGGAAGGCACAAAACAGAATGGAACGGAGTTAGAACCCCTTTCCCACAAAAGAGGAGCAATCCTATTTCATCAACTCTTTGCTTCCTGTTAGGGAGAATTCAAGGAGGAGGAAGAGTGTACCCGTGCAGGGTAACGTGGTTGAATAGCTAGCTCTGTCACATTCCACATGGCGGCCAGTGAGGCTGGTACAGTGAAGCTAGTCCCCAGATGGCTCTTCTCTGCCAGCCCACCCTACCCCTATTCGAGACGTGTAGTTGTGCCAGACCGAAATACAAGAGGAACCATTGTTCAAAGCCTGCTTATTCAAAAGTAAACATTTTTAATAGTTCCCTTGATTACTTTCGTTCTACGGTGTTCTAAGACGTAGGATTCCGATTACTAGTATATCTCTATAATATTCATCTCTACGTTGTTTACAAAGACCGAAGCACAGCGCCTAGGAAGTGATTATATTTAGCTTTTCTTCCGCAATATTTTATCTTATCCTCACAAAAGCCTGGCACAGTATGATTTTTAGTGTGTTCATTTAATAGGCGAAAATACAGAAACTCACAAGTTGCCCAAAGTCACAAAGCTTATAATTAACAGAGTTAAGTTAACGCCTGGGGGGCTCAGTCATTAAGCGTCTGCCTTTGGCTCAGGTCATGATCCCAGGGTGCTGGGATCGAGCCCCGCATCGGGCTCCCTGCTCCGCGGGAAGCCTGCTTCTCCCTCTCCCACTGCCCCCTGCCTGTGTCCCCTCTCTCACTGTGTCTCTGTCAAATGAATAAATAAAATCTTAAAAAAAAAAAAAGAGTTAAGTTCTGAAGCCCAGGTGTTTTGACACCCAGATCTGAGACAGGGCACACCCACGTGCATGTGCACAGCACCCCCCTCCTTGCAAATTATCCCACGACTTCTGAGCTGGTGCACGTTGGCTCTCAAGAAATCCATGACCTGACATGAGCTCTTATTTACCTAGACGATTAGGCCTTGTCATTTCCCAAACCCCAGCTTTGGTTTGCTACTTCTTAGCACACTTGTTCTCTGCTTCTGGGAGGTATACTTTTTTTCACTGGGTGATTTTTGCTAGAGTATGTTTTATTTCCCCTCAGAGTCGAATGGATGTGTATATGTCACATGCTCCCACTGGATCATCGATGCAGAACATCCTGCATATAAAACAGGTAGTGTCTTTGTCATGGAAGACTCTTCCAATCTTATTTCGGTACATCTGAAAGGAGAGAGTTAGCAGGTCTACCCTAAGAAGGTTCGAAGCCGGCTTCTATTTCGTCTCTGTCACCATCTTTGGTTTGATTTCCCCAGATTTGAAGGGAAAGGACAAGGTATGGTACAGACCAAGCAGGTGACATAAATGAACCCAGTCTTAGATTGGAGCTTGTAAAACAGAGCCTGAGCTGAAGCAAGAGGTAACCAGGGAAGGCCTCAGGTGATAGAACCTTCCCGGGAGAGAGAACTATCTGAGGTTTGACTTCCCCCTAAGGAGTCGTGATTTCCCATTGGCTGTCCCCCTTCAAACCAAGGGAGACCATTGCTTCCCTCTCTGTTGGCCTTGTGCTTCTAGTGGTAAAAATGTATTTATATCCTTCTGGTGACCCAGAAAGCTTTATTTTCTTCCCAGTGCATAGTGGTTTTCTAAGACTTACTATAAAAATTGTGATTCTTACTCTGATTATTTTTCCAAAAAACATGTATTTCAGCTTTACAGATCTGATGAATTCAGAGCTTATGACTGGGGAAGCGAAGCTGAGAACATGCGTCACTATAATCAGGTGAGCTACTTGGAATGGCCCCAGAAGGGTGGCTTTGAGACATTATAATAAGCAATTAGGATGACTGGGTAGCTCAGTTAGTTAAGCGTCTGCCTTCGGCTCAGGTCATGATCCCAGGGTCCTGGGATCGAGCCCCGCATCGGGATCCCGGCTCCGCGGGGAGTCTGCTTCTCCCTCTGCCTCTGTTCCTCCCCCTGCTTGTGTTCCCTCTCTCTCTCTCATGCTTTCACACTCTCTTTGGCAAATAAGTAAATAAAATCTTAAAAAGAAAAAAAAAGAAATTATTGGAAAGTGAAAAGAATCCTGCCTGACAGTTAGTGGCATTCTCACTGATAGCGCTTTTTAAAAAAGGACTAATTTAAATATGCATTCATTGCAGAAAACCTAAAAATAAATAGAATAGAAATAAAAGAAGGATAGCTTAAGGAATTCTAATAATTTATAATCCCTCCATCCAGAGAACACTATATGTATCAGTATTTTACTGCATTTATTCCAATTTTCTCAGTACCACTGCTTTCACACAATTTTTAATCTTGCTTTTTCATTTACAGTTACACAAGACCTAGCCAATGCTACTGAGGTGGTTTGTAACATAATTTTGTTGACAGTATAATAATGAAAATTGTTTCATAAAAATCTGTAAAAATGTACAGAGAAAATGAATACCCAGTTCTTGATGTCAACAGAAAAAAATACAGGATCCCACATGAAAATTAAAAGAACACTACATCAAAAATTAATGATGTAATGTATGGTGATTAACATAACATAATAAAATAAAATTTAAAAAAATTAAAAAAAAATAAAAAAGAATATTATCCACCCATGAAGAGTTAAGCCTTTAGCATCTTTTTGCCTTCTGAGTATTCACACTAGAATTTGGAGACGCATTTAGCCCTCCTGTACCTGTGGTAAATCCTGTTGCCACCATTTCTTTTCTCAAATTCAGGAGCTGGGCTTCTCAGTATGAGGCACACACATTAAATTAAATTTTTCCAATATTTTCCCAGACTGATATATTTAAGGCTATTTATTAGTGCAAATATAGATCAATTAAGTTGTTTCTGAGCATCAAAACAGTCAATCAGAGCAGTCAATTTCTCACTAATGGATTGAATTGTTAGACAAATGATTCTACTAGCTCTTAGGACAACTAAGAGAGCTATGTATATTTTTATTATTTTTTAAGCTTGATTAAGGTAGAATTTACATACAATAAAATTCACAAATTTTCCAATTCAATGAGTTTTGGCAAATACACTCATTCCTGTAACCAGGCCACAATCAAGATATAGAAGTTTCCACTACCCCCCAAAGTCTTCCCCTGCCCCTCAGGCCATATATATTCACAGATGCGTTTATTTGCAAATGCTTAGAATAGGGCCAGGAAAAAAAAAAACAAAACAACAACAACAGAAGTTAAAAGAATTGTCTTCAGAGAGCGGAAGAAAGGCAGACTGAACTAGGGGAACCGGAAGGAATTAAGGGAATGTGAAGGAATTAAGGAGGCTCTCAGTTTGGATTTGACATACTTCTCTTTTCTTCCATTATTTTTAATGAGCATATTTAATTTATATATTGTTTGCGTTTACAAGAAAATGAAACAAAAATGTCACCCATACACTTAGGACCATTGTTAGTCAAACTCTTGCTTGTTCAGCTTTTTTGAGGCAAAATTGACAAATAAAATTGTAAGATTGAAGGATACAACGTGCTGACTTAAATATATGGGAGTGTCAGTGTCCTTAGAATTTCCCAGTGGTTAGCTGGTCCAATCTGATCCTGTCTGCTTTGAGTATGATTTTGGGTCACTTGAAGTCAATTTTTATTATATTCTGGCCTCATTTATTCTGGCCTTATTTATTATTTATTATATTCTGGCCTCATTACTTTGCCGTCTTCCTAAGTTCCCAGCACAATCTTGGTGCCCACTGCATTTTATTGAGAACAAGGAGACTAACCCGTGTCAGCTCCACGAGGGTAGAGATTTCCTTCTGTTTCCTTCACCAGCGTTTTCTCACCGGGCAGAGGACCTGGCACTTCCTGAGCCCTTAATACTTACTTGTTGCATGAATGAAATTTCTTAATAGCCCTTTTCTCCATCTTAAAATGACTCTGTCCCCTTGGTGTTCTTCTTCCTTCCTCTCAGAAAATGAATGCCCACTTATTTCCCAAGTTTGTGCGCCTGTGCCCTTGGCCCCATCTCTTCTCATCTCCTCTTCCTTTTGGCTCCTCTTACCCCTTAAATGAATTGCTGTTCCTTATGAAACAAACAAACAAACAAACAAACAAAAACCTTCCGTCAACCTACAGATTCTGTCGCTCATCATTCCGTCCTCTGATTTCAATCAACGTTTTTTAATATTTAAAAGGGCTGAGTTTCTCCACTTCTTCCCTTCCTCCACTCACTCCTGAACCCTGGAAAATGTAGTTTGGGTCTTCATCTTTCTATTACAGCTACTTTATTTAAAGTCGCGGGTGGTTTTTGATTGCCAAATCCAGTGGCCTGTTTTCGCCTTCAGATGTATGTTCTGTGAGGTGGCACAGCCCCTGTACCATTCACTCCCTCAACCCGGACTTCCACGATGCGGTGATCTTGAGTTTTCCCTTCCCTTTTTGATTGCTTCCTTCGTCCTCCATTGACACTGTCTGCTTTCTAGCTCCTCCACTCACAAATTGTCAGCCTTCCTCCAAGATTCTTCACACCTCTCTCCCTTTCTCCCTTGGAGAATGTAGTCATCCCCAAAGCTTCAATTATCCCTTCTCTGGACCATCCCTAACTGTGTGTCTAGATTGTTTCAGGATCTACTGCCAGCCTATTCCTTCCTCAAGGCATCCCAGACTGATGGCCCTACAGTCACCCTAAGACAGAGCTCTGAGAAATGACCCTGCTTCATCCCCCCAAACTTCCAAAAGATGTCAAAATACCTTGGCCTAGACCTTGACTGTCTGTCTCCAATCTTATATCCTACTGCATTGTCTCACACAGTTTCTTCCCTGGGTTCACTGGAGAGCTTGCCAGCCTGACCATGGTGTACATGCTCTGGCTACCCTCTAGGAAGCCCTCCCACCCTCATCCCTATCTGGTAAAATCCAACTGTCCCTCAAGAGTCATTTCAAATAACTCCTCTTTCTAGAAAGCCCCTGGTCAGAAGTTGTTTCTTCTTTGCCTTCAGTGCCATTGTATTTGGGGGGTGTTTCGTGGCATGTGACATACTCTACTTTGTAGGCAAACGTTTGTTGGCTTATCTTGCCTTGTTCCTGGCATACTCCTTGAAGATACGGACCATTGCAGGCATTCTTTCTACTTCCCTCGGTGCCTGACAGAAATGTGTTCATAGCCAATGCTCATTTAGCAGCCCCTCTGCGTACCTGAACCCAGTTGTTGTAGTGAGGAGCTTTCTCTCTTGAACGCTCTTTCTCGCTTTTCCGTAGAGCCGTCCCCCGCTCTACGACTTGACCACCATGAAGGTGCCTACTGCTATATGGGCTGGTGGCCATGATGTCCTTGTGACGCTCCGGGATGTGGCCCGGGTAATCCCCCAAATCGGGAACCTCCAGTACTTCGACCTCTTGCCTGACTGGAATCACTTCGATTTCATCTGGGGCATGGACGCTCCTCAGCGGATGTATAGTAAAATCATAGCCTTGATGAAGTCATACTCCTGACTGCAGCACATCTCCATCTTGGTTCAAAGTTGCTTGCCAGCCCATGGGAGGCTTTGGGAAAGAGACTGATCAGCAGGGAGGCCTTCTCCGGTGTCCTTCACCTTGTTTGCTTGTTGCTGAGGGGCTCCCTTACCCGACATCCCGGCTCGGAATTATTTCAACTGTGTTGTTCTTAGCTAAGAACCCCACACGCCTGAAATCTCCAGTCTCTTCCCCTCAGTCAGGGGTAGGCCCAATTTTTCATGTCTGTGAAATATGCACTTCGGAGAGTAGTTCAAAGAGGACTTTTCCTTTCCTAGTTAAAGTCAATTTCTTAGAAGGAAAGACTTCATTTGAGAATATATTTTGGGTGGCCGTGATCATATGGCCTACTAGAAATCACGGTTAGGTGGTCATCTATAAACAGGCCATGGTCATCTATAAACAGGCCATGAAAATAAGCTCCAGCCCACATCCAGCATGAAAAAGAACAGACTGCTGGAAAAACTAATAAAATTGAAGTATTCCAGGAGCCCACTTTACTGTTATAAGCTAGAAAAAAAAGAAAGAGACAGACAGACAGACAGACAAAACTGGGAATGACTACGTAGGATATGCTGAATTACTGATTATTTTGAAGTTACAACACATGAGAAATAATTCTGTCCCACCTTGCTCTAAAGATAAGTTACACTGATCACCGACAGTGTTTTCATGGTCAAAGGGGAATTTATACTATTGCTTGCACCCAAGTGACATTTAAAGCATCTTCCAGAAAGCCTATTTTAGAAGCGGCAAGGGAGGCTCTAGGAATATTGCAAGTCTTGCTCTGTTTCATTCTCTAAATGATGCCAGACCTTGATTTTAGGATTTAGTATGGAGTTCCGAGAGGAGCGTGAAGTTTTGTGTCTGTTTCTGGATTCCTGAGTGGTGGAAACTTGCAAAAGTTCTTTACCTTCTATGAAGATGTCATTAACGGAAAACTCTTTACAATCCTCAAGGAATCATAAATAACTGGTACACATACATACCTCCCACAGTTAATTTTAAACAAGTAAATGTAAATTAGCTCCCTAGTATTTGCATGGAGGACTGGGGTCTCTTGGATGTCAAATACCACATAATCATTCTTTAATAAATAATTCATACTTCATCATCTTTAGTTTTCATGTCTTTCAAAGGAATAACAATTTTAACACACTTGGGAAGCCATTTTAAGTACAAATCCTTCCATATTTGTATAATTTTTATTTATCAGGATTAGACTGTCTCAGTTTGTTTTTAGTGACTTTTAGAGAGCTCTTCGAAGAGTGGAATGTAGTTTTCTTTTTTCTTTTTTTTAATTTAAATTCAATGAGCCAACATACAGCATATCATTAGTTTAAGATGTAGCGCTCAATAATTTATCAGTTGCGTATAACGCCGAGTGAAAATGTAGTTTTCATGCAAACAGTACAGTCTTTTAAAGTCACATTTAACCAAATTAAACAAAATGCATTAAATAATATAACTATTATAACAGACAGAACAGGCATAAGTTAAGTCTGAGAACAAATATCTAACTCTTGGTAAGCTTAGAGTTCAACGGGAACGAGTGGAAAGATGTGGCCATAATAGATTAGCTTATTCGTTATGAGTATTTAAGAGGCATTGGACATCCAGTTAAGATGCCTACAGAGAGAAAAGAGGCATTGGTTACTATAGGAATCGAGTTAAGTGGAGGTCAGTTGAGAGAGCTCCTGCAGGATTTGTCTTACTCGGCTATTGCTATAATGCTGTGTAACAAGCAAGCATGAGTAGCTCAGTGGCTCCCAACAGCGAACATTCCTTTTTCATGCTCACAGCCCTGCAGTTTGGCTGGGGTGGCTCTGCCTTGGGCTGGGATCACCAGGGCCTGGCTCGACCCGGTGGGTTGGGTCCTGGTCTGCTCCACAGGCCAGTTCGTTCTGGAGCTAGCAGCTAAGAGGACTCTGTTCTTCACAGGGTAGATCCCAAGAGCACAAAGAGGACTAGCTCAGTCATAGCAGCATGTTTACAGCTCTGCTGGGTTCACAGCTGCTCCTACACATGTCCCTGCTGCAGATCACCCAGCCGGGCCCGCCCCCAGAGGGGTGGGGTGGTCTGCCTTACCTACCGGGGGAGGCTGTAAACCACAGGACCAAGAATGCGCGTACATCATGCTGTGACGCGGGAGTGCAGAAGTGGGGAAGAATCCATTCTACCACGCACAGGTACAAGACTCAAAAGATAAAAATAGGGAATACAATAAAAAGTAAGTCCCTCTCCCTGCCTTCCTGGTCCCGCGGGCTCCCCTTCAAAGACAATTCATTCTCACCAGTGTTTTTGAGTATCCTCCTATGGATTATACCATGCATATTCCAGTGGCTCCATAGATACTCACTGGGTTGTTTTTTTTTTTTTTCACCGAACTATATCATACTATATATACTTTTTCACATTTTGCTTTGATCACTTAATAGATCTTGGAGATTTTTCTCAGTTCATATGGAACATTATGATAGACTACAAGGAATTTCATTATCAACAGAGATTCAGATAGATTAGGATCTTTTGTAATTATACACATTGCTGTAAAGAATATCATACAGACAGGGCAGGGCGCCTGGGTGGCTCAGTGGGTTAAGCGTCTGCCTTTGGCTCAGGTCATGATCCCAGGGTCCTGGGATCGAGTCCCGCATTGGGCCCCTTGCTCAGCGGGGAGTCTGCCGCTCCCCCCGCTTGTGCTCTCTCTCTCCAACAAAGAAAGAAATAAAATCTTTAAAAAAAATCATCAAGCTATACCTTTGCAGTGTGTGCACTTTTTCTACTATATATGTTATATTTCAATAAAAAGTATGTTTTAAATACACTAAGTTTTTCTACTTAAAATCAACAAGCTATTAAGTACAGAAGAAAAGAACACTTTTTACCAATACCTCTACTTTTTTAATTTTTTGCTCTGCGTATTGTAGCAAATATATTGACTATGGTAATTCTGAGTAATAGTTTATTTTTTGCTAGGAGTTTTATAGAAAATATCTCATTTAAAACTTATAAGCCTAGGGGATAGAACTATGGTCACATGAGGCACAGAGAAAAATGAGATATAAAAGCCAAATTTTCCTAAGATTGCACAAGTGAAGGAGTCATGATTTTAATCCAGGATGTTTGACAGTATATATCTGTATAAATGTGTACAAATGGTATATAAATATCCTTGGGACACCCTTCAGAGAGTCCTGTTTATATTACCCTAGACCAGAATTACTTGAAAAATAAAGGCAAGAGATGAGAAAATGTTTTGGAGTGTTTTGGGGGAGGGGGGTTGTTGTGTTTTTTATAAACTCTAACCATCAAATTGAGATGAGAAGGTAGAACTACCCTATGACCCAGCCATCCTGCTTTTGGGTATATATCCAAAGGAATGCAATTCACTATCTCAAAAAGACATCTGCACTACCATGTTCATTGCATTATTCACAACAGCCAAGACATAGAAACCTAAGTGTCCATCAACAGATGAATGGATGAACAAAATGTGGTACACACACACACACACACACACACACACACACACACACAGAGTAAAATATTATTCAACCATGAAGGAAGAAGGAAATCCTGTGACAACATGGATGGAACTTGAGGGCATTCTGTTAAGTGAGGTAAGTCAGACAGTGAAAGATAAACATTGCACGGTCTCAATTATTTGTGGAATCTAAAAACATCAAACTCAGAAACAGTAGAATGGTGGTTGCAGGGCAGGGGTGGGGGGAAATGGGGAAATGTGGTCAAAGGGCACAACTTTTAGCTGAGATGAGTAAGTTCTGAGGCTCTATTACAGCATGGCGACTAGTTAACAATACTGTAGTGTGTACGTAAAAGTTGCTGGGAGAGTGGGTTCCTGGGTGGCTCAGTCGGTTAAGCAACTGCCTTCGGCTCAGGTCATGATCCTGGAGTCCCGGGATCGAGTCCCGCATCAGGCTCCCTGCTGAGCAGGGAGTCTGCTTCTCCCTCGGACCCTCCCCCCTCTCATGTGCTCTCTCTCTCTCATTCTCTCTCTCAAATAAATAAATAAAATATTTTAAAAAAAAAGTTGCTGGGAGACCTTTAATATTCCCACCATAACAACAAAAGAGTAATTATGTGAGACAAAGGATGTGTTAACTAATCTTATCTGTGGTAAACATTTCACAATATGTGAGTGTATGAAAATGTAAACTTACACAATGTTATGTGTCAGTTATATCTCAATAAAGTTGGATAAAAAATGTAGATGAGTAGATCACTAGTCAGGTCAACTGTAACACATTTTTCATCACTTTGTCCGAAATACCAGGATCACTTCCAAGTAAGCCTAGAATCTAGCAATCCACTGATGCGGAAACTTGGTTATAGACTTTGTAATATAAAGTTATCGAAAATTTGACAACGTTTCTCTTTTTCTTCCCGTTACATTTACACAAAGCTAGAAACTCATGGACCGCATAAAAAGACTCACTAGGGAACTATACTTTTTCAAGCCTGAATACCCCATTAATATTTTGTATAGAACAAGGTAAATTCATGACATTAATTTCTAATACAAATCCATGTCAAATGTAAAGTCTTTGGTGAGTTTCTTTCAGGAAGTATATTTAGTTTCAGAGAGGTGAAACTGGACTAAAATAATGGCTTTTTGAGACTTATTAATCCAAGAGCAAGGAAGTTATCTGACCATGCAGGGCCTTGGTCAGCTCTGACCACGTCCGCATTGTCCTCCTATGCCAAGCTCATCCACACCTTCCAAGGTCTGGCTCAAGCACCACCACTTCTGAAAAGATTTCCTTGAACTTGATGCCCCCAAATTAATACTTCTTCTTCTAAATCACTTTTTATGATGCTCCTGCATTATCTCTTTAGTCTATCTCCCTAATCAATTTTAAGTAGCTTGAGAGCAGGAGCTTTGTGTTTCTTGCCTTTTCACTTCTTAAAATCTTTGTTTTGAAATAATATAGATTGCTGTGAAATTGTAAAAATAGTACAGGAAGTTCCCACATACTCTTCCCTCAGTTTCCCCCCCAAAGGTAATATCTTACATGACTATAGTGTGTTCTCAAAACCATGAAGTTGACCTTGGTATAGTCCACAGAGCTTAATCCTATTTCACTATGCCCTCCTGTGTGTGTGTGTGTGTGTGTGTGTGTGTGTGTGTGTGTAGTTCAATGAAATGTTATCATGTATGTAGATTGTGTAACCACCACCACAATTGCGATACAGAACTGCCCATCACCGCAAAAACTTCCCTTGAGCTTTCCACTCCCCAGCCCTCCTGAAACCTAACCCTTGTAACCACTAATCTGTCATCTCTGCAACTTTGTGTAAAAGTTGTGTGACCTTTTGATAGTTGCTTGTTTCACTCACTTGAGAGCCATCCAAAGTGTTAACTATTAAAGTGTATCACATTTGCTCCTTTTTATTGCTGAGAAATATCCATGGTATGGGCCCACTACGGTTTATTTAACTATCTACCCACCGAAGGACTTCTGGGTTGTTTCCAAGTTTTGGCTTTACCTTTTAACTTTCCAGTGCTTAGCAAGGTGACTTGAAAGTAAAAAACACTCAATTCCGGTTCATTAATTTGAATTAATTGCTAGTCCCACCCGAAGCTGAATTCTGTGCTGACACCTGACAGTACATATTTGCCCTGAGGGGAAATGTCAGTTTCTCCGCGTTTCCACTGACTTCAGTCTTACCTTCACCTGATACGGAGAGATTGCAAAACATCTGTGCCGTTCTCATTCCATTTGAGAGTTCTGATGTGATTTAAGAAGTGCTTTGGGGTCCAGGGAAAACAGATTCCTGGTATTCACACCTTGATGGTTATAAAATTCTCCCCCAGCCTGTATCAAGGTGACAGGGGCTCTTATCTCATCAAAATCTCCATCAGCATTATCACAGCCCCCACAGAGTCAGTCCAAATGAAAAGAAGAAGAATGACACTAATATTGTGCCATCATTAAAATTTTCTGTGAAGTATAAAGGCACCAATATATTTTTTCAGTAACTCCTACCTTTGTGTGCCATTTTGATTGAAGCATGGT